TTTTGTGTAAAGCTATCCTCCCATTGCCCCTTGTTCTGATGTCACACACCACTGTAATAAGTCCCTGTCCAGCTTTCCTGTAGGAAACAATTTCCAGCCTCCTTCAGGTACTGGATGGTTGCTATTAAGTCTTTTTGGAGCCTCCTCTTGGCCAAAGAGCCCTAGCTCTCTCACCTGTCATTGTAGAAGAGGTTCTCCAGCCCTCCTTGTGGCCCTCTTCTGGATTCATTCCAACATCTTGAAGTCCTCCTTGTGTTGGGGGCCCCAGAACTGGATGCGGTATTCCAGGTGGGGTCTCATGAGAGCAGTGTAGAGGGGCAGAATCACTTTCCTCTACTTGCTGGTCACAATTCTCTTGATGCAACACAGAATATGATTGATCATCTTCATGGCCCTGCTTTGGACCCACACCAACAACTTCAATTACTGATGGAATCCAGTCACTCAGTGTTCTGAATCTTTTCAGGAAAACATACAAAAATTTGATAATTGGTAGAGTTAATGTTCACAAAAGAATCCTCAAAGATATTTTGGACTTGTTCAGATTTTGTACGCTGTTGCAAACAAGGGTAGAAGGGAGAGTTGTTTTCTGTTTTGCATTTTAATTACCTAACTCCTTTTAATTCTATGGATTCAACAACTATGTTTTCTCAGACCTCTTTTACAGTTTTACTCAAGTTGAGTGTAATCTACATCCCTACAGCCTCATGCATTAGGTACATGCTGTACTTTACGTTCTCTACACCATTCCCTCTGGCCAAACTGTATGATTCTATTTGTCTTTTCATCTATTGCCGTTTATCTTAAATTGAATAGAGATATCAGCAGTATTTAATAGAAACATAAATACTCAAAACTTATTTTATGGTAAATTACAATTGAAGTTTTAAAAATAAAGATTCCAGCAGATTTCCCAAAGCTCAGTCTGTACTGGGGGACTCTCTACAGCTCAGCAAAACATCACAGTGAGGCACACAGTTATAAAGGTCAGAATGAAGCTAGAGAGGGACTTGATCTGGTCTGCCAAACAAGTTTTGGGATTCTTAGAGCTTTACTATTCATTTAACCTGAAAAAAAGAAAAGGGTGTATTTTATGCCATCCAATGAGAAATGCTATTATTCATGACTGTAAAAGTTAACCCAAGTCTTTGTAAGGAATTGAATATAAATACATTCTTTTTATTTGTTGACACTTAACAGAGAAGAAGCTAAGCAGAACTGTACCTATATTACTCTATTTACAGTAAGAAATAAAACCATTATCAGAAATGTTATGTTGTGCTAGCTCCTGGTCTTTTCTTTTTATTGCAGACAATTAATATTGCTAGTCTTGGTTCTACGTGAGTTTAAGATTGAATATGTGGTAGTATATTCAACTTTAAATAAGATACGGGATGTAATGAGTTTTTAATAAAAAATTAGCCATAACTATACAGTTTGACTATTTTTAATTTTTCTTCCAAGTATAAGCGTATCTCCAAACACAGTTGCTAATCCATCATGTGAAGTCTGATGAAGTATGTTCTATCTTCTTTCCTGAGGTATAAGATATATGCTCATGTGATGGCATTTGTTATTTCCTATAGACTTCTTCCATCCATTCAGTATGTCTAGAAATGCCATTGAAAGAAGCATACAAATGCTGTTTCATTTTGTGTTTCGGATCAAAGTACACACTTTAGTCAAGAGATATATTCGTTGGTGTTAGACCTCCCTCAATGGATTTGGCTGCAGAAAAGGGTCTTTAGTTCCAAGAAAAACCCTTTCCTTGAAAAAATACTTAACATTTTGGCTTCTATCAACCAATCTCTCTGTCCGAAGGAATTTTTTCTTTCTCTCTCTTTCTCTGAAGTCACAAGTAGGTCAGATGTCAAAGACACAAACAGTCTTCTTGTTGGAATCTGCTTTCTTGAAAAGCGATGGTCTAGAAGCTGTAATGATGCTCTCATTCTGCTGTAGCCACCAACTACCTTGAATGTGACAGCACTCATCTTTTTAAATGGAAGAAATTTTTTCAGTGTGACTGGATTATTCTTGAACATCACAGCAAATTTCACTGAATGTTATCCTCCAAGGAGCAAAAGCAAAAATTTGAAATAAAAAACAGAATAATAATGCTGAAATAGGATCATTGAACAAGAATTTGGAAATCAGCTTGTATATTTGTGCTTCCACTAAAGCAGAGCCTTAAACCAAATAAGTTCAGGAAACAGACTGATTGTAATCAGCTTCACTGTCTAATGGATAAAAAGATAGCAAAACATGTCAAGCAGTGACTATTTGGCATTGTCCACAATTCTGTATAGAGTAATTTGATGTTGAAAACTTTGTTGTGTCTCACAAATTTCTCTGCTGTGATGCTCTTAAATTTGCACTCATTCTATGCTTTGTAATGAGTCACTTACTTTTATATAATTTAAATATTTCAAGCATCTTACAATGATTATTTCTAAAGCAATTGCTATAATATAAACTAATGTCTCCCAGCACTGTGTATTCCTGTCAGACTTTTATAATCAGGATGAACAGTTAATTAGCATGTTTGTTTTCACTAGGGTATACCAATTAAGAGATATAACCACACTGCTGTACGTTTCTATTAATGCTTTTCTACATTTAAAGTAAGATCATACATTCCAGCAGGTGTGTATTTTAATGCTAATAGAAGATATTCCAAAGGATATTGAGCTATTTTACCATCTGTTTCTTCTGCTGGTATTCTTAAATTACTAGAAAATAGACGTTAGGTGATTTCTTTATTTTCCAAAGCTGCCAGAGTATTAACTTTATTCAATAATGTTTTACAAAATCATCCAAGCTAAGATTTTAATAATAATACAGCTGACATGAGTAATGATATCTCATAAGTGCTACTTCCACAAATGTGTCATCCCAAATCATCTTGCTTTTGTGTACAGACTGTACTTAGTAGTTACGATAACAACATTTTTCTCAAGAACTACATTGGCTACCCCCCTTCTCTGGGCATAAATCTCAATGCTTCTGCCTCTTCTGGTTTTTAATGTTAGGAGATATGTTTATTTTTGTTCATTATGACCTTAAATCAAAACATCAATTAAAGGAAATTTTACTTTTATTTCTAAAGAATTTGAATCTGGAGTGGATTTTTCAAATATTATGCTGTTCCTTTTACTGTTAAAATTTGTCTTATCCATATATATAAATTCAAAATCTATTTTTCACTGCACTTAATCTTGGATCTTTTCTGGAATGACAACAAAATCAAAGAAAAAATGTTTTCCACATACTCAGTGAAGTGTTCTTGTAAGTAACATGTTCAGAAAAGTGTTCACTTTTGGTATCAAAATATTTGCATGCACAAAAGTAACTGGACATTATTTTAACATTTCTTCAAAGTGTGTCTACGTTTTTCAATTGTAGATCTGTAAACAATCTTAGTGCTTTTCAAGTAGACTTCTATTATTTCACAGGTGACAGATGTAACCAATTTGTTTTGAATCAGTAAGCCAACAGGCTTACTGAAAGTCACAAGTATTGTATCTGTAGTATCTGGATGCCCCATATGTCTCCATAGTTAAGACTCAACCTTAAATATTTACAATAATTGCGTTTTATGCTGTGCTTATTTTTTAGCAGCTGCAGTGCTCTCAAGTAATGCTTTCCAAATTATTCTCTTCAACAGTGTTGTTTAAGATGGTGATATAACTACTACTTTATTTTTATCAAGACTGTGAAAAGAATTCATAGGTCGTGGTAATTATGCTTATATATATATATATAAGTCAACCTTCTGACTACTTGCATAAAATATTTATGGACTTATTGAAGGAAATTTTATTTCTCAAGAATGTTTCACCTTTTACATTTTTAATCTAAACCATCTGTAGATTTATTGCTAATAGTGATTTCAATTGGAATTTGTTTCCAAATTAAAACTCCTAAACATAGGTGAATTTTGGTATGTACCTATACATGCAGTAAGTGATTGGCCTTAAATTAATGGAGTTAATGGAGACATAAGGCTCAGCTCAGTTTCTTAAACGTAGTAAGCTAACACCAGTGGAGAACTTCAGGGTATCAAAGCAAACATCCTACTTCTATGCCACAAAGACTTGAAAATCCTTTAAACACTGTCATTTTATTATTTCCGTATCAAATGCTTTAGGACATTTCAGCTGGCAGTTGAATGGTTCCTCTGATCTTTGTGTGTGTCAGGGCATGAAGAGTGATACAGTTCATCCTGAAGCAGACAACAACTGGTAGCCAATTAAGCTCAGACTTACCCTCATTCTTGGTTTCTACTTCTCCAGGAAAAGTTGTAAAGCAAATAATTCTATTTTAAAGAACACAGATCCAATTCGTTATAATTACACCTCATTCAATTGCCAGAGAAGGCACACTGGACTACTAGCTTCAGTTTCTCAAACATCTGATTTCTCTCATCACACAAGTCTTGAGATGAATGAACTCATTCTGAGCAGAAATTACATATGAAATGCGTGGGAGCTTTTCAAGCTGAAGAGTGAATCTGGAATACTTTGGTAAGAAGATTCAGTTTGAACATATGTTATCAGAAGATTATCTAACCTCTACCCAATCTATCATAATAGTAATCTTTAGGCAAAGAAACACAGCATAAATTTTTCAGAACAAGTTTTCTTGCTATAGGTTAAGAAGATTTCTAGATTTTAACTAGTAAACACCAGAATGCAGATTACCTACCCAATACTACAACATGCTAGCAGATGTGATGATATTGTGATGAATAGTTTCTTCTTCTGATTACTTTTTTTAACAAAGTCACAATCAACCTTCCATCATGGATTTCTCATCTGGTGTATGGGAACAGATAGGTCATGGCCTGAACCAGTGATTGGGCATCTGGTGAAGAGATGGAGTCATCCCTGGGAGCACAGGTGCAAGCAATTCACTTTCACAACCGGAATGAATGGATGCAGAATTCCCCCTTCCCTAGCCTCATTTAAGGGCTGTTAGCTGTGAAGGAAGCATCTCTACTTAGAGATTGCTGCCCTATGGGAATTTTCAGCAAGCCCCTACCTTAGGGAACTGGGTAAGTTGTGGGTTTTTTTTTGCTTATTATTGTTATTATTATTATTACTAGCTTATGACCAATACCATTCACAGAGCATACTTAAACTGCTCACAGGCAGTTAAGTCCTTCCCCTCATCTGATACTTCTGGGATTAAATTCTCATGGGATATGAGGATGATGTAATTCTGTAACTGCTGCTTTGAAGAATGGAAAAAGGCTGTGTATGGGAACTGCTGAGTCACAGCCTGAACCTCTGATTGATCACCTGAGGTGAGCCTTGAGTCAGCCAGAGGAGCACAGGTGAAGGCAATTCACCTGTGCTGCCAGAAGGGGTGGAGCCAGGCTCCACCCCTCCTAGACCTATTCAAGAGCTGGCTACCAGTGGGGAAGGATTTCTTCTGGAGATCCCTCCTTCTGGTGTTTTGTGGGTGAGCCCAGCATAAGGGTAAGCCTTCCATTTATTCTCTTTTGTTATCATAGTCTACTTTGCGTAACTCTCCTGTTTATTTTGTGATTATAATATCTTAATATCCATTGATTATACAGGCTGTCACAGCATGTCTAAAATCTTGATTGTGTTCTCCAAGTAATGCAGTAATAAATTGAAGGGTGTTCCCTCCCCTGCTCCCTAAGGGTGTTTGTAGTTCTCAAAAAAAGTTGGAAAAGTCTCTTAAATCTATAACTAAGGTTATAAGCTATAAGCCTAGCTTTTTCTGAGGAGTATGCAGGTATTCAGGAGTGACTATGTACCACACTGTACAGACTTTGCTTTTAAACATCTTGATTGAGCATTAGTTTAGGATGGCTATTAAAAAAGAGACAATTCTGATCCATAGATGTGGTGGAACTGGAGACCTAGTTCCTAAAAGGAACTGTGGATGTAGAGATATTTGTGTGAAGAGCTGCTAGTTTGGAGGCCATTCCCGTGCTCACTTTATGTTTAGGTTTAAATCTCATATTGCAGATGAAGTTAAGTTTAGCAATAGGACTATATTTGTTAGAGAGAGGGAGACTGTAAGTGTATATGAAGTGGAGCTGGAAAACAACATTCCACTGCTCACCTTTTTTTTTTTTTTTAAAGAAAAAAGTGGAAGACATAGAAATAGTATTGCTTTTAACATAAGTTAATAAAAATGTATACATCTTTATCTTCTTCTGATCCCCAATTGTCTGCCAAGTATTCACTTCCTTGCTTTATTTTGTATGAAATTTGTATGCAGCTGTTTTGCAATATGTTTTAAACTACTTTTTCATTTAGAAGTTTAATGCAATAACTCCAGTGTTTGCACCTGAATTGTAGTAATTTACTTCAAAAACTAGTTTTTATTTGGCTTTCCAGATAATTATTTTTTATCAGTTTAATGCAGACAAAAATAAACAGATATTCAGACAGAACACTTCACCACTTAAATTAAATGAGAAGAGAGAAAGGGAAGAAAACTAGATAGAACTGGCTCAAGAAGTGGCCAGTAGTAAGAATATTCCCACTTAGAATACATCTGTAGCTACTACTTCAATACCAGCTACGAAATATTTTGGCTTGTTTCTCACTTGAATTTATCTGGTTTCAGGTTTTATGCACTGACTCTATTAGGTCAAAGATTTTAACCTACTAAATTAAGGAAATTGTTGGTATCTGATGCTTGCTTCCCATTAAAATGGAACTACTTTCTTACTAACTTACATCTCTAGCTTGTTTTACGAGCATTTAGGCCTTATTAAGAAAGCCTAGCATATTGTAATTCAAAGAGGTTTTGTGGAAATTCCATGAATTTTGAGCAAACTACATCTTGCTTCACCATTTTTAAAAAGTGGAGGCATTCTCATTGTGAATGAATTTCAGTATTGCATCTCTTTAAATCTAATAACAGTGAAACATTCATTGCCTTGTTTCTGCTTTTCCTATTAGTCTTTTTGCCATGACTCCTCACTGACAAGAAACATCAAGTTGCTTGTCCACTAAAGCTCTTAAATTCTCCTTGGAATCTTGATTTTCATTATATGACCCTTCCTTATATGTAAGTTTCCTGTACTGCTTTATAGAAAACATCTTGCTTCTCATTTGGTTCTGTTGAAACTGATTGTATGTGGGTCCATTTTACTTAGAAATACTATATCAATTGAGTTTCCTTGTTTTCGTCTTTCAGAAGTCATAGTTCCAATAGGTATGTCATCCATCAGATTTACCAGTGATTTTTTTTTTTTGTTTATTCCTGGACCATTACTTAGAATACTCCAACAAGCAGAATGCTGAATAAACTAATCTCTATAGAGCTCCACTGGGAAGAGAGATTTGGTGCTCAATCCCAGTTGACAAATAATCCTTTGAGATTCATCTTTGGGTTAGTTCTTAATATCAATTAATTACATAAAAAAATTATGTAATGGTACTTGGAATTCAGGACCACAATGTAATAAATATATCATGGCCTGACTATATGGCATCTGTACATCTATATTTTGAGCCAAATTTATTATCTAATCAAACAGGTTTATTTGACTAGATCTAATTTATGTAAAACCATCTTGGCTGATGTTGATTTTGTTGCTATTGCTGAACTCCTAATCAGTGAAATTTTATACCAGCATTTCTGTTTTTGTTTAGAACTGATACAAGGCTTACCAGCTATTGAATATGGAAGATTAACATTTTTTTTTCAAGCTGCTGGAGTTTTCTTGTCTGGAGATTTATTAAAAGTAAACATCAGGGGAACAGGTATCTCCTCAGTCAATTTTTAAGTACTCTTGAGTATTATCTCAATTGAATATATCTATTCATGGTAGATTATTCTTGAAGTTTCACAATACATAGTTCTGTAACTTTTTTTCCCCACCAGTTTTATATCCTAAAATGTAAAATATGCTCTCATCCTCTTTCTGAGAAATTAAGTCAATGCCTCACATGGAGACAAGATGCAGGCATCAGATTTGCTCAGCTGGAGCCAGGCTCTGTAGCCATCACAAAGATGTAAAATTAATTCAGATGTCTATAAGACAGCAGTTTTAAATTACTCTGGAAGAACCTCTGGAAACAATGGAGAGTCTCAGGTTTTTCGGCAGTGTCTTGCTTCTTGGCTTTTTGCTGAGTTTAGAACCATAATCTCACTCTTTCTTAGGTAAGTTCTTTCAGTATTGACAATAGGTACTCCTGATGTCTTTCTCCATTACTACAGAATAAATTTGCACTCTATCACAATCATTCCACTTTTCTTGATTTGTATACTAAACAGTGTTATTAGTAATTTTGTTACATCTAGCTTGCATTGAATGCTGCTCTTAGTTCTCTCATTCATGAAATTATTCTAGAATGTTTACGTTCACTTATCAGTCTTTTAGTTTAAGAAGAACTCTGCCTCAGTTAAAATAGCTACATAATACTGTATGTCATCATTCCTACATCTGATCTATACTGGCCAAAAGGATATTCCATAGCACATGACATGTGAAAGGAGAAGTTAAAAGAGGGAAGGGAGTTTATCAGTCAGACTTCTGTTGATCAGGGACAAGCTGTGCATTGGTCAATGGGTGGTAAACAACTGCTTATACATCAGTTGTTACAGCAAATGTATATAAATATTATATATAAATATCTCCCTCTTCCTTTTCCACATCTTAGAAAACAGTTTTTATCTAAACTCATGAGTTCTACTTGGTACTTTTTTTCCCATTCTCTCTTATCCCTTGGGGGAAGGGGGGAACTGCATGATGCTTCACTATCTCCTGGGTTAAAACACAACAATTCTGAGAAACGAAGGCACCTGATGCAGGGATCAGAGCCACATTTCCACAGAAAGTGCTGTAGGATCAAGTTCGCAATAGGAATGGACAAAATAGATGGCCAGCAGATATAACCCCGTTTACAGTTTGTGGAGATCAGGCCATCGTACTCATCCAAGAGCACTTCCCATTCATCTTGCAGAAACAAATGACAATTAGTTAGCAGCCTGGGCAAATGGAGCTGGTCATGAAGAGTAGTAACCAGAGCTGGCTTCCCCTGCATACAGAGGGCTCACCTGCTGCTTCCATTGCACAGGCTTGGTGACAGGGAGGTGCTATTACATAGCATGGCTCTCTCTGCCTCTTCTGAGTTCACCTCTCCTTGAGGATTTTTCTTTCAGCCTCCTGCAAATTCATCTTTTTTTCCCTTTCACCTGTTCCCTGTTATATAACATTAATAAGTTGAAAGTGATATTTCTAGTTTACAACATCCAGTGTCATGGATAGTCTTCAGAGTGTAGTTGCAACTTACATGAATGGTACATTTTTCTTAGTGCCCTTCATTTCAGTCATTTCTGTAGAGCTACTTCTCTCCACTTACCTTCTCTACTACTACAGCACTTCTCCACTGCTCTCTCTCCCCCCCTCTTGTCATCAAAATTTCTCTCCCATTGTGTATGAAGAGTATTTCTCCCCTATTCCCACTACCTCCTTGTAGGATGTTTAGATGCAGTCCCAGCAGGTCATCCTTCTAAGAGCAGCAGATTTTTCCTGTACTGCTACTTGCTGTCCCCATGCTTTCATCTTATTTCAGGCCAGGCAAATGGCATGTTACTGCCCAATAGTCTTATGCAGCAAGGCTTTTTTGGTCAGCTTGTCCTATTCCCTTGTCTAGTGGGGTTATGAATGGCTAACACCCTCTCAGATTCTTGTCAAGCTCTTTGGTGTGTTTGTTTTTACAGCCATAAAATGTTAGGTATTCCTTTCAAGGCAGTACATATTCACAAACATAATTAAAAATAAGTTTTGTTAATGAATTCTTCATAGTCATTCCTTACCTTTCTGACTTTATAGGGGACAATCCTTTCTGAACTTGGAAATGTTGGGGGGAAGAGGGGAAAGCTGATGCTTAATGGCCCCATCTCACCTATTCTCACAGACTCTTGTTGTGTCACCCTGTTTAAGATTTAACAGACAGAAAGTGTTTCAGCGTAGCACTTTATTCCTCAAATTTAATCTGCAGTTCTGACCAGCCACACCTTAGCCAGGGCCACAGCAGTGCCTGAACTGTTCCATCACGT